GCCGAATCGTGTATAACTCCGTTTATTAATGAACAAACGGCCCGACTCGGCTTTGTGTGTGTGCTTAATTATATCACAAACCTTCGTCACAGATCAGTTTGAAAGTTGTATGAATACCCCTTTAGTAAATTTCAAGATAACGAGTATTACAGACAAAAGAAACAGAAAAATCTAACTGCATAAGACTTCAATTTATTGCAAGCATACGTGTACGAGTAAGTTTCATTATATAATTCAAAAAGTTTCCTACATCAGTATTCGCAGGCGCCACTCCTGTTATACCTATACATACTAGATATTGTTATAGCGCACTGTTCAACTTAACACGCCTGACTTCACTCCGCCTTATCCCTATAGGATAAACTATCACAAAGCAATAAATTTCGCGTGTCTGTGTAGTTCGAACTTTAGCTATACATAGATGTGCAGTGACGCAGGAGAAAAGATATCTTGCGAAAAATATTTTCCCCAGATTTTCGAGTACATTGACGTTTTATGGAGACTCCATTGGCTTTGAAGTAGCCCAATGAGTTCGTAAAATTTGATTATATTGATACTTTTACGCTCTTTATATTATTATCGCGATATTTATGATGTTCCTTGGATAATAAATGCGCCTGTTTTTAATCCAGTTGCATTCGTCTTGGCACCGAGCCCTGGCGCAGTAGAGACAATGCTTTGTTCTTTATGTGCCTTCACCACAAAAGGCATGAAAATATCATTCTAATACTTCTTCTTTAAATACGCCAAGATAACTCATTGTGGTCTTTTTGTATTGGACCATAAGAATGGACGTTATTCATTAGTATTAAATATACAACAAATAAATAAGACAAACTTTGCCCTGACCGTAACCTACTAACTAAGGCTGACAAGGCAACATACACAATCATGACAACTGTTATTTTTCATTGATGGTGTAATTAGTGGTTGGTTATTATTCACGTAATTTCATTTATACAATTTACTGTCAACAAACAATGCTAAAAAGGATGATTGATATAATTTAATCGTGTAAAAGCTTCTGAACGATCTTACGTGGTAAAGTACCAGGACAAACCTGGATGCGGACAGTGCAGGACCGGTCGTTCTGGAAAGACTTGGTCTCTGTCCACAAATGGACGTACTTTGGTTGAAACGGGTTGAAACGAACGGATACAGTTTATCCACTTAAGTCGGGTAAAGCACGAAGTTGAGGCAAATAACCGATTATCCGGCGAGCAGACACAATGGCGACACTTACCGACGACGTACATGTGTGTGTGCACTTGTGCCGTGAGGAAGGAGGGCGCGTCGGCCGACACCTCGCAAGTATACTGGCCCTCCGCCACTTGAGGAGACGCTGGGATGATCGTCAGGCGTTCTCCATCTGTTTCTGTTATCTGGAATAAAATAAATACATCTTACTAATATCATAAATGCGAAAGTTTGTATAATTGTATGGATGTTCGGATGTTTGTTACTCTTTCACGCAAAAACTACTTTTTTGGATTTTGATGAAACTTTACAGTAATAATGTTTATAACCGAGAATAACATATAGGCTAAAATTCATGACGATCTGTGGCCCATGGACCTATCCATGCTGTGGCCAAATAAATTTCACACGGATGAGCCGCGGGCAAAAGCTAGTAAGTAATATGTTTGCAATGTCGTGACGTGTTTTGTGATGCGTGGGAGAAAAGATGAAAATATCACAATAATTTATGATTTACCTTAGGAAAATGAACAGTTTGAACTGCTATGGCCAGACGTATTGAAAAGCTGAATGGGGGTTGGAAATTTTATTTAAAGGTTAGACCAGACCAACGCGTGCACGATGACGATGGCGATGGCGACCAGACTGCGTGTATGAATTTGTAGCGATGAGTTCACATCAACGCGTCTTGTCATTGGTCGCGGCGATCTATGCAGCGTCTGCACGCAGCGATCAGCGATCATCGCGACATTTGTCACTGTGACGTTTCTGTTTTTTAAAATCGATGTAATAAATAGTAAGTAGGATCTGTTAAAAAGTTTTTACACAATTAAAAATGAATTATTAATCATAACATACCACTAGTCTAACCTACTTGAATAATAAAAAAGGTTTTAGAATAAAGTATCAATATCAGAATTTATTTTTATATAATAAACAAATTATTCTAGTTTTTTCGAGAACCTGCTTCTTCAACTTCATAAATAAAAATGGGGATATTATCTGCAGAACAAAATAATTGAGAATGTACATGTCTGCAGCTTTCTCAAAGGCCCTAGAGCAATTCTAAGTATCTACCTATGCCATAAATAAAAACCTAATTAGAGTCATCAAACGTCTCAGTCATTAATTTAGTGCCACTAGAAATACCTAGTTGACCAAAACTGATGTCTTTTTGTATTTTTGAGTTATTATTAAAGACAAAAAAGATATTTGAACTATTATGTACTCTGTGGTTTGGGTGCTTAATGTAATTCCTTTGCCTTAAAAAAAGTAAATGTCAAGATGACTGTTGCACCAAAAATGAAAATGAAAATTGATTTTGATAGATGTTTTGTTGAGTTCTGTGTAGTTTTGTGCGATTTAACGATAAGATAAAACAACAATTTTAAAAGGTAATGGGGGCAAATTTTTTCCCTCAAGGAAAAAGATGAATTGGTTAAAATCTTACTTGCCCACAAGGATACTGTACGAGCACGTCAGCATCGACCGCGACTAGCCGACTGGCCCATGAACCCTGAACGAACGTGCACCGTCGGCACTCTACACCGACGGCACATTGGACTGGACACATTGAATTGTGTACATTATGTAAACCTTGTATATAGCAATAGCATAACAGTAATAAACCAGATATCAACCCTCCGCGTTGTGTTTCATTTCCCCCACTGAGGCCAAGAAAGCCTTAGTGCAGTCCTCCTTCCTATCAAACCTTTCTATAAATCTAATTAAAAGGTATTGTTAGGGCTCAAGGGACTACAAACGAAGCCAGAAATACAGGGTGTCCCAAAAACAATGGATAACCCTGTAACCATCTATANCACCCTAACATACATAGTCAAATGCCATAGAATATTGAATTGAATTGAATGCCAATAACCGTCAATATATACTCGTACCTCTAGCTATTTTACTAAAATTGGTTCTGTGTGGGATTCGAAAAGGTAACCGCAAACTTGACGATCTCGAGCGTGAATCACCCATATGACTAATGAAATATTTCAAATAAAACTTTTGTTTTTAAGGTTCCATACTAAAAATGGTATTATTATATGGCGGGTGTTAGCCGTAATCTAAGAACGGTTGTAACAACGCAGTCAAAACACAAAACAGATGGTGTTTTGTGGCCGAAACGTCAAGCTGTAAGTAGACTCATCATCATCATCATCAACAGCCCTTTACAGTCCACTGCTGGACTATGAGCCTCCTCCACTATAGTGGAGGGTTTTGCCATAATCTCCACGCTTGGCAGGCGGGTTGGAGATCGCAGTTTAAAAGATTGATGTTTTTCAGAGAGCGCTGCTGCCCATTCTCAATTAAAATCATTTCTCAAGTAGACTCATGAATTACATAATAAATGTCGCCTAGAGTAGAAACCTTAGAAACCAGTAAAACTTTTTATTTTAGTTTTTACAACAATCAAGATTTGGACTCATAAATCAGCAACGGGAAAACCCCGATACCATAGCCAAGAAACTTATTAAAATTCATCTAACAATATCAAAGGGCAAATGTCTCTTAACGCGTTAGATTATTGTAATTCAGAATGTAATGTAAATTATTAATTGCAAACGAGAGTTATTGGTAATTAATAATTCTCACTGGAAACTATGACGTAGAGACTAGTAACGTGCCAAGATATGTGATTTCAGATTAATTGTATGTATTGTAATATACACCTACAATGAGAGCGACCTGTTAATAACTCTAACCGAGATTCCAGCTCTGTCAGTATGTGGGAAGGAATTTAATTTAATTAAAGGAGCTTTACTATGCCACAGCGTGCTATGGAGAGGGCTATGCTTTGTGTTTCTTTGCGAGATCGAATCAGTAATGAGGAGATCCGTAAACGAACCAAAGTCGCTGACATAGCCCGACGTATTAGCAAGCTGAAGTGGCAATGGGCAGGGCACATAGTACGCAGAACTGACGGCCGATGGGGCAGAAAGGTTCTGGAATGGAGGCCGCGTACCGGAAAACGCAGCGTGGGACGTCCACCTACAAGGTGGACCGACGACATCGTAAAGGTAGCAGGGAAGCGCTGGACGCAGGCCGCTACCAATCGATCAACATGGAAAGCATTGGGGGAGGCCTATGTTCAGCAGTGGACGTCCTGTGGCTGAAATGATGATGATGATGATGATGAAAAGGAGCTTTGTGGTGTATAGATTATTAAGCTTCGTTTAATGATTGCATGTGGAGGTCAGCAGTGGATTGTTTTTTTTTCATAGCTTGTAAAATCATTGGCATTTTGTGGTTTGAGATTTATACGACTGCACTAATGCAATTATTAGACACGAATAATCGTTTTTTTACGATATGTATTTTTAGTAAATAGCAGCGTGTGGGTTTTTCACTTAAAATGATTTAGTGTAATCCTAGAACTATGTAGGAAAACCACATCGTGGTGTCAAAAGTAGGTAAGACAAAGATTTTCAGAGCTTTAAAACTATTTATAACTTTCAGGGATAGGGGTGGTCAATCTCTCTAGTTCAGCTTGTACAGTATTTTTAGGACAATCTAAATCTAGAAAGGTAGCTATCACCTAGTAAGTTGCTTTGTTTATGAATAATAAACTATTTTACCCACGCACGTGTAACTTTAGAAACCAAACAAACATAAAATAATGTTTGACGAATATGTTTTAGACAATATTACCTAACATTTGACCTATTTATATTTTATTGTATAAACTCAGTTCGTTCATATTACATAGAAAACTCCCAAACGGCAACTTACTAAAATACTTTACATGTTCACTCTTAAAACATTACGATCCTTTTTGCAGTCGGGTAAATACTTACCGGTTCACTGTTGATGAAGAAAGAGAGATTGGCGGCTGGCATGGAGTCCCTGCTGATACATTCCACCTTCAGCTTCATGCCTGGCTTGTACCGCCTCTTGAGCCCGTGCATCGATGGACCATTCTTTGGCAGATCTGGTGGAAAAGAAGAAAAATGAAATACTGTAAATGAAATTGCATTTTGCGTCAGTCCCTTTTATTTAAAAAAACGGTCCTTTTCTTGGATTGACTGAAAGAGATCGCTTCCCGACGGAAATACCGTCTAAATTATGCCGCTTTAAACTCAGTTTTGTATTGAGGATATTTTTGTTATCTTTATTTAATATGCAATAACATTTGGTTTTACTTTTGTGTAGGTATCTCATTTGTTTACTGAGGGAAAATACCACTAGTTTTCAACAAATGGTCGCATGTAAATTCACGGATTTAAGTTTATGTCAGACTGACCCTCACTCTAGTATCCCTGAGCTTAAGCTAGCTTTTTCGTGAGAGGGACGAAAGATGCTGATAGATCAAAAATATTTATTCGTAGAAGACGAGTTTTTTTATTAAAGTGCGTAGGCTCTTTCTGTTGCAAACCAAATTCCAATGATAGATTACTAATTTTAATATTCAATGAGTTTTACTGCTTAGACGATATTGGTAATGAAATATGTATGTTTTGGGTGAAACGACAAGTCATTGTATTAATAACGGCTGACTTGTAAGTGGGGCTTGTGGGTCATGAAGCAAAATAACCAAATGCTATTTACTAGTACAATATGTTGAACTACTGAACGTATCCAAAAATATTTTGAACGGTACTTAGTGTTTTTTTAAGGATTCATAGTAATAACCTAGTTAAGCTAGGCATATTTTACACATTAATTTATTTAACAATTAGGTGTTTTCATAAAAAGAAAATAAATTGACGTCCGCGTTATAACAATAAAAGCTTTTTTGTGAGCTTTTACCTACATTTGTAATTACCTCATACTTACACAAAAATTACACGCAAAATAGTGCTTTCTATTTTACTTATTCTTTGTGAAGCTAAGCAAATAAATACATAGAGCAACAAGAACTGTGAGCCTAGATCCCCAGAGAGCCATACACCACCAAGCGTCTCCAGACCGTTTGCGGTCCTCCGTCTAGAGGCGGAATGTTATCGCAGATATAAACTTGTTACTGCAGCGTACAATTCAAAATCGATTAAAACCGAATGCAGTGATAAAAACACTGCACTTTTTTATCTCAAGCTTACGCTCCGTTGACAACCACAGTAAAACGGTAAAACCACAGAATACATAATAGTAGCAACAGAAATTGCACTCCTTTGTGTAGGATCAGATGCCGACATTTTAACGGTAATAATAATAATGCAAAATATCCAACGCACATGGTGCATTCGAAATCGCACCTTACCACTACGCTCACAAGAGCGCTATTTTTTTGTGTTCAGAATTGATCTACCTCACAGCTCAAGCGTCAGGGTTGTATAAGCAAAGTAAAATAAATAAAAACTTAATTTTAAGAAGCATTTATTGTATTTACGATTGGTAAACTTTAATCTAGTGGTGTTTGTATAATCGTACCATCTCTAAAGTACCTATTAATAAACTTCAGTTTTACGATAATTCGAAATTGGACAAACAGTTTTAAAAGGTGTAGTGTCGGAAAATAGACACGGTAAAGTAAAAGTTAATGTTTTTATTAGGTAAAATATTTTTTTTGCTACAGTTTTTTGTCATAAGTATTTCAAAATTATTCAAAAAGTGTAGTTTTTTAAATTATTTAAATCACTACAGTTAATTAATATTTCTAAATATTACGATTTTCCATTAAAGAAGAATAACAGTGCTGTTGGAACAATAAACCTTGATTTAAACGATGATCGACCGAGCGTGTATAGAAATACGCGTGTGCTCACAGGCGCGTCACGGCGCGTGGCGGTCCTGACTGATTTGCAACTTGAAGTTGTCGCGCGCTGTAGGTAATTATCTCGGCCGGCATAGGCGAGTGACGGAGGCCTGGTAAAACTACTAATGGCGGACTAAACTATAAATTGCAGACGAATTTTTTCATATAAGTTCCTATTTATCGACGTACCCAACGTTTGAGTAATCGCATCTGAGCCACAAGTATTTTCTTCTGCAATTTGAGGTTAATGTGCCGGTTTTTGTTTTAGATTAACTAAGTGCTCGTTAAAGTTTCACCAGCTTCAACCAGGTAGGGTAGTGACTGTTTGGTTCCAAACCCACTACACAGGTAGGAATACGTGAGCNACGTGAACTTTTTTCGAAAACTCTTCCCTCCGCGTTTCTTTGTGTGTAGTTAAGCGACCGTGAAGCGATTTCGATGTCATTTTTTGCCACGTCTAGGGAATCAGGAGTTACAAGCCAGTAGCCATCGTGCCGGTTCATCGCATTTTCTCGTTTGCGATCGGGCCGCATTGGGTTCTAAAGACGACTTATGTATGTATAAAGTAGTGAACCCATCTAGAGGTTAACTACGCCACCGCGGTGGCCGACTATAGACTGCTGAGCAATTAGCCTACGGCGGGATTCTCTGTGCAAGCTCAATCAGGGGAAGATTTTGCGGGATCTATAAGGACGATTGTCCATTGTGCCTAAATTCGAGAATGTCGGTCCTATTGCACCCTATTGTTTGTTGGGATATCTATTGGAATTCTGATTTCGAAAGACATTCCCTCCAGGCCTCATGCAGTAGAGTATAAGAAAGAAGAGTACTATGATTGATTGCTCATACAACATTATACTACTCTTATTACTTTGAAGAGGCATTTGTAAAATTCGTTTTCATGTACTACTGCGTAATCGTTTTAAGGTCCTTCGGCAGGCTCACACCCCGGTAATGAGACATTATTACGAACGTACCTATTGATTAATTATTATGAATGTTATTACGGCTTTTGGATCATACCCCAAAAGGTCATTGACCGCTATATTCATAAATCGTTAATTTGAAAAGCATCGCCTGAGTTAAACCTGTGGTATTTTGGATGGTAAACACATTTTTGAAATGTTTGATCGAATAAATTATATTTGACTTGTAAAAAATATAAATTGCTTGTCCGACCGAAGTTCGGCTTAGGATCTGAGCCCGGGATCAAAGGTTAACAGCCGAATCGTGTATAACTCCGTTTATTAATGAACAAACGGCCCGACCCGGCTTTTGTGTGTGTGCTTAATTATATCACAAACCTTCGTCACAGATCAGTTTGAAAGTTGTATGAATACCCCTTTAGTAAATTTCAAGATAACGAGTATTACAGACAAAAGAAACAGAAAAATCTAACTGCCTAAGACTTCATTTATTGCAAGCAAGTGTAAGTATTATGCAGATTTGATCAAATCTAAAGTTTCATTATACAATTCTAAAAGTTTCCTACATCAGCATTCGCAGGCGCCACTCTTGTTATACAGGGTGGCCCAGAAAGAAATTCACTTTTGAAAATTAAAGGAAAAAAATGCTGTGTAATTTTGTAGAACTTTATTCATTACAATTCAAAGAAAATTAAATGAAATTTATTTTTAAATTTACCTATATTAAATAACATCATCCAGGAGATTTCCTTGACGCTTACAACATTCGATCAACATACATCAAAATCTTGAAATGCGTTCGTTAGAATTACCTCGAAACCTATTTTCCATTTTTTGCTGAATGTTCAGCTTCAGTTGCTGCATGGTTGTTGGATTATAAAAGTGTACTCTATTCTTAAGATAACACCACAAAAATAAGTTTTCTGGAGTGAGATCAGGGCTTCCTGGTGGCCAGGAGATGTCACCCCTGCCTAAAATTATTTTTTTGTGGGAACACGTCACTTACCATCTTAATGCTCTCATTTGAAGTGTGACACGTAGCCCAATCTTGATGAAACCAAGTGTTCCTGTCATAGCCTTGCGAATCTTGCCACTTTGAAATCAAAAAGCTTTTCAGCATGCCAGTATAGCGCTCTCAAAAATTAATCATCCTTTCGATGCAACAAACCAAATTAAGCAGGGGTGAAATCTCGTTGCCACTAAGAAGCCCTAATCTCATTCCAGCAGACTTCTTTTTGTGGGGTTACATTATGAGCAAATTATACTCTAAAAATCAAAAAACTATGCAGCATTCATCCATCCTGAATCCATTTCAAGGTAACTCTTACGAAAGTTTTCCACAATTTTTATGCATGTTGACTGAATGTTGTAAACGTCAAGGAAATCACATGTACGATGAAATTTAAAAAAGAAGGTGAATTTAAAAATAAATTGCATGAAATTTCCTTTAAATTACAATGGTTAAAGTTCTACAAAAATTTACAGTTTTCGTTTCCTTACATTTTCAAAAGTGAACTTTCTTCTGGGCCACCCTGTACCTATACCTACTAGATATTGTTATAGCGCACTGTTCAACTTAACACGCCTGACTTCACTCCGCCTTATCCCTATAGGATAAACTATAACAAAGCAATAAATTTCGCGTGTCTGTGTAGTTCGAACTTTAGCTATACATAGATGTGCAGTGACGCAGGAGAAAAGATGTCTTGTGAAAAATATTTTCTCCAGATTTTCGAGTACATTGACGTTTTATGGAGACTCCATTGGCTTTGAAGTAGCCCAATGAGTTCGTAAAATTTGATTATGTATTGATACTTTTACACTCTTTATATTATTATTGCGATATTTATGATGTTCCTTGGATAATAAATGCGCCTGTTTTTAATCCAGTTGCATTCGTCTTGGCAACGAGCCCTGGCGCAGTAGAGACAATGCTTTGTTCTTTATGTGCTTAATGCAGGCTTTATTTATGATGTCTTCACCATAAAAGGCATAAAATCATTCTAATACTTCTTCTTTAAATACGCCAAGAAAACTCATTCTATGTGGTCTTTTTGTATTGGACCATAAGAATGGACGTTATTCATTAGTATTAAATATACAACAAATAAATAAGACAAACTTTGCCCTGACCCTAACCTACTAAGGCTGACAAGGCAACATACACAATCATGACAACTGTTATTTTTCATTGATGGTGTAATTAGTGGTTGGTTATTATTCACGTAATTTCATTTATACAATTTACTGTCAACAAACAATGCTAAAAAGGATGATTGATATAATTTAATCGTGTAAAAGCTTCTGAACGATCTTACGTGGTAAAGTACCAGGACAAACCTGGATGCGGACAGTGCAGGACCGGTCGTTCTGGAAAGACTTGGTCTCTGTCCACAAATGGACGTACTTTGGTTGAAACGGGTTGAAACGAACGGATACAGTTTATCCACTTAAGTCGGGTAAAGCACGAAGTTGAGGCAAATAACCGATTATCCGGCGAGCAGACACAATGGCGACACTTACCGACGACGTACATGTGTGTGTGCACTTGTGCCGTGAGGAAGGAGGGCGCGTCGGCCGACACCTCGCAAGTATACTGGCCCTCCGCCACTTGAGGAGACGCTGGGATGATCGTCAGGCGTTCTCCATCTGTTTCTGTTATCTGGAATAAAATAAATACATCTTACTAATATCATAAATGCGAAAGTTTGTATAATTGTATGGATGTTCGGATGTTTGTTACTCTTTCACGCAAAAACTACTTTTTTGGATTTTGATGAAACTTTACAGTAATAATGTTTATAACCGAGAATAACATATAGGCTAAAATTCATGACGATCTGTGGCCCATGGACCTATCCATGCTGTGGCCAAATAAATTTCACACGGATGAGCCGCGGGCAAAAGCTAGTAAGTAATATGTTTGCAATGTCGTGACGTGTTTTGTGATGCGTGGGAGAAAAGATGAAAATATCACAATAATTTATGATTTACCTTAGGAAAATGAACAGTTTGAACTGCTATGGCCAGACGTATTGAAAAGCTGAATGGGGGTTGGAAATTTTATTTAAAGGTTAGACCAGACCAACGCGTGCACGATGACGATGGCGATGGCGACCAGACTGCGTGTATGAATTTGTAGCGATGAGTTCACATCAACGCGTCTTGTCATTGGTCGCGGCGATCTATGCAGCGTCTGCACGCAGCGATCAGCGATCATCGCGACATTTGTCACTGTGACGTTTCTGTTTTTTAAAATCGATGTAATAAATAGTAAGTAGGATCTGTTAAAAAGTTTTTACACAATTAAAAATGAATTATTAATCATAACATACCACTAGTCTAACCTACTTGAATAATNTGAGGAGATGCTGGGATGATCGTCAGGCGTTCTCCATCGGTTTCTGTTATCTGGAATAAAATAAATAAAACTGAATAATATTACAAATGCGAAACTTTGTATGGATGTTCGTATGTTTGTTACTCTTTCACGCAAAAACTACTGAACGGATTTTGATGAAACTCTACAGTATTATTGTTTATAACCCAGAATAACATATAGGCTAAAATTTATGACGATCTGTGACAAACTAAATTTCACGCGGGTGAAGCGGCGGCAAAAGCTAGTAAGTAATACTATGTCTGCAATGTCGTGACGTGTTTGTGATGCGTGGGAGAAAAAATGAATATGTCACTCCACTAGTAGTAGAGCAGAGCACAATAATTTATGATTTACCTAAGGAAAATGCACAGTTTGAGCTGCCATGGCCAGACGTATTGAGAAAGCTGAATAGGGGTTGGTTTTATTTAAGATCGTATTTAATGAATCATAGGTATTTTTACATAGCGCAATCAGACCCAATACAATGCAAAAATCTTGTATATGGGTGCTGATGTCGAATGAAAATACTTCAATATGTTTATTGTTTGAAAATAGACATATGTTAAACTCTACGTATTATTATTCAGTGCTTAAATAAACATACAAAATATTCAGATCATTAAAATCATTTATTCATTAAGAAATGTTTGTGTGGGTATCCATCCCGCTCTCAACTCTTCTGAGGTGTTAATCTGATACGCGAACCACCAAGTCATGTTTTAACCATTACAAAGTCTTTTCGTCCCGTATTCTCAAATAGAATTTTCCGAATCGCTATTATGTGGCAGTATTGTTGGGTATTTTAAGCTACGAGTAACTTCAATCGCCGTAAAAGGGTTTGTAACCTCTGCCTCCATCAAACGTCACCGTTTCAATGAAAATCACCTGACACAGAATTGAAAATGTGGGGGTAGATATTATATTATTATAGTCTATTGTTTTACTTTATCTTTGAACCAAAATAGCTTCAAATAGAAGAGGAAACATTTTATATTCGACCAAAAGTCTTCACGAACAATCGTTTAAAACGTCAGAAAAGGTTATGAAATCCAGATACTAACTTTTCCTTAACTACAAAAGTAGACACGTACACGAGTAGGTACTTATAAAGATTTTCTTTTTTCACACCACACACCACAAGAAATAAAGTGTTGGAAAAGCACAAATAACAAGAAAAATAATAATCTTAGGCTGGGTTGCACCATCTTACTTTAACTAAAAATCTGTCTCCATATAAAAAATACCAGTTATCGTTAAAGTTACGGTCAAAGTTAGGACCACCTACTGCACTTTGCACCAGCAACGAACCCTTAGAAATTCATGATACCAATTTAAAAAATATCAACAACCCGAAATCCCGACCCTGTTAATACAGTGTGAGTCACGTTAAAGTGTACATATGAAAATAGATGAAACTAGACCTATTTTTATCGACAAAAAAGAGGTCAAAAAATTTTTGAGATTTTTTTTAAATTTTTTATATATTTTTTTTTCTTCCAATTACTTATTGTAAAGAAAACGTAATAACTTTTAAACCAAGCGGTATATCCTGATAAAATAAAAACAGTAATAATTCTAAATAGCAGGCGATACTAAAAAAATACATAAAATACACAAAAAAGGCCAACAAATAATAAAAAATGGTACTTTTTNGAGAAAAAGTAATCGCAAGTGGCAATTTTCAAAAAAATAACAAAAACTTAAAAATCTTGAAAACGGTGAAATTTTTCTGGGGTCAAAATTGGACGTTAGGGAGACCATGGCGAGGCCTATCGATGGTTACAGGGTTATCCATTGTTTTTGGGACACCCTGTATAGCTTGGTTATGAGTAACCAATACCTACCTACTACCTCACCTACTACCTATACCGCATGTAATCATGTANGCCTCCATCAAACGTCACCGTTTCAATGAAAATCACCTGACACAGAATTGAAAATGTGGGGGTAGATATTATATTATAGTCTATTGTTTTACTTTATCTTTGAACCAAAATAGCTTCAAATAGAAGAGGAAACATTTTACATTCGACTAAAATTCTTTACGAACAATCGTTTAAAACGTCAGAAAAGGTTATGAAATCCAGATACTAACTTTTCCTTAACTACAAAAGTAGACACGTACATGAGTAGGTACTTATAAAGATTTTCTTTTTGGCACACCACACAACACAAGAAATAAAGTGTTGGAAAAGCACAAATAATAAGAAAAATATATATCTTAGGCTGGGTTGCACCATCTTACTTTAACTAAAAATCTGTCTCCATATAAAAAATACCAGTTATCGTTAAAGTTACGGTCAAAGTTAGGACCACCTACTGCACTTTGCACCAGCAACGAACCCTTAGAAATTCATGACACCAATTTAAAAAATATCAACACCCCGAAATCCCGACCCTGTTAATATACAGCATTAAGCTGTTCTTGATACAATACTCTAATACATATTTTTGAAAACAATATTCGGTACTCTAAAATGATATTGTTACGCGTATGCTGCCAAAAGCTACTAAATATATTGCATGCACAGTGCACACAATGTATCACGTTCCTATTACTGAAATGCTGAAAATGGTGTTGATACTTGCCGCCGAACAATTGATAGAGAGCGGATGAATTGCAAAGGTGCGTAAACTCGTTCCAAGTATGCAAATTGCATTTTGATTGATGATTGTGTGGGATTATCATATTCATTTGAAGCTGAGCCTGTAAAGTGTATGAGGTCGTACTGGGAATAAACCAATCAATAGTTAGTGCAGTCACTGATTCTGAAACAGTTTTAAAACTCGAAATAAAAATGGAGGCAAGTAGGACGCTTTCTAATGGTGTATTATTGCCTGTCTAACTAGTACCTCTTGCAACTGTTATGCAATATGGAAGTATGTTAAAAGGTTATCTATCACATAAAAAAATTATTTTATGTATTAAAATCAACTAACTGACTGAATTATAGTTGGTATCATAACTATTTATACCTATCTTGTTTTAATAGTTACATATTAATTTGTATTCACGTACGATGTACAATGTATTCTTACTTTGAAATTAATTTGCGAAGAGTGCTTCATGTTTATTAGCAAAATATTTTTTCAAGCAATAAACTTAATTGATGTGTACTGTAATGCAAAATAAAATCGAATCCATTCATGCACAAAGCAAAAGTTTTGCAAATATTAGCAATAACTTTAATTAATTAAATATGCCCACACCAAACTACAAACACGTTTAAATTAAAACGCTTTTATTTTATTAGCGTAAAAACGCATTCAAATAATATTTCCCCCAATCCATTAGTATCTGGGAAACAATTAAATTAGACTGCACGAATGTTCAAGTACCTCTTGTCTTCTAATAGAGTAGCTAGAAATACTTACCATAATTATGTTACCAGTATTAGGAATTGAATAATATTATAAAAATGATTTCCTTCTATACTATAAATACATCTTTTCAGCCAAATGACGTCTACTGCTGGACAAAGGCCTCCCCCAAGGTTTTCCACAATGAACGGTCCTGCGCTGCCCTACTATAAATACATAAAAATAAATAAATAAATAGGTACTATAAAATTCATAAATTGATCTTATACACTCCAGTTCATATTAAAACGATCCCTCAAAAACCTTTCATGGAATAACTGTATTAAACAGAATGAATGGGGTTTCACTCGTCACGCGCCGCTCCGTCGGCGTGTGAATAAATAACTGCCCGCGTCAGTACACGCTGCCTCAAGTTTATATGACAGATCTGCGTAAAGCCGCGGTCGGGCACACGCGGAGTTTGGCGGAGCTGAAATCATAGTTAGCTAACGATAAGCACTTTGGTGAAAAATCAGCACCAAAATAGCAAAACAATCGAGGGATTTTTACTGAGCTGAACACTTCGGCATCTGAAATAGATTGATATTATATGTGCTACAAAAATGTATCTAATGTGCTGGTAGCATCAACTTCTTCTCTTTCGCCCTTTACTATCAAAGATCGTGGCCTGTTGTCATGTGCGTCGAGGAGTACTCGGCTAGAGTCAACTCTGTTTACAACGTTAGACCGAGGGTTGGTCCCTATCCCTGGTATGTTTACTCTTGCGTTCCCCAATATAATCTGCCTCTCAAGCTATGTTTATATAATCTAATAGTGTGACCAAACAACCCCAGTGCTTTCTGCTGACGAAAGACGCTTCAAATTATCATTTCCGAATTTGAGTTAACCTACGCGCTGCACATCAAAAGGATTCACTTAACTCAAAATCACTCACCAAGAGAATCAAATTACGTAATGCG